GCATCACCAACAAATCAGCTTCGCCCTAATCCAGAGTACCGGATGGACGTTGCATGAGCCTTGGACCTCACATGGTTTTCATCTCATCCCCTCTCCCTCACTGGGACGGGCAGGAGGCGGTCTTCTGACAGTTGTTCGTACTACAGTTTGCCACATGGATGCACTGAGTTATCAGGACTGGGCCCATGGACGCCTGCAAGTATGTCAAACAAGTAGTTGCATCTACACACAGTATCAAAACTATAATATAAAAGAATGGTGGGGAAAGTTCATCCTTTGCCACTTACCTGAAACACTGTGCACACAAATGTCAGTTCCCAGGGGTTTCAAAGCTCTCATGGTCCATACAGTTCCTTTCTTGACAAGGTGTGTATGCTAAGAATCTACTAATGAAAACACAACCATATTCAGTCACTCTCATTGGCAACATTTTCTTGTTCTACACATCAGCCCATTCCCACTACTTCTCACCACCAAGCCTGGGCCAAGGCAGTAGGACCAACTACTTTCCCATACTCCTCCAGCATTTGTGTCTTTTGGTAGTGGTCTTCATGCTGTCCTGGGCAAGGCATGTCAGCTGTTGAAAGGTTGGAAGCCCCATACTTGCACAGTTAGAACCCTATTGGCAGATCACATGGACTAGTTACTTTAGTTAGCTATATATATATATATATGGTTCAGGTTGCTGCCACTCAGTGGCCAGGTTGGATGGGCCCTCCCTTCAATGGCCCCCTTGCAGCCAAGCATCTGCAACAGTGCTGAAAGTACAAGGTTGCCCATGGCTTTGTGATCTGGTTGGCTGCAAGCCTTGCCTGGTGCAAAATGGGACTGGGACTGTTGCTCTTTGGCTATATTGCTTTTGCTTAAAACATGGTGACAAGGCACAACAGCTTGGAACCACTTCTTGATTCCCTCCACACCCTCAAAGATCTCATTGCAGGTTATGGTGAACCTGGGTGACTGAGGTTTGGTGGAAAGCACCAAACCAACACACAACACATATCATGTGACATAGCCCCAAGAATCTATCTGTCACTGAAGGCTACCCTCTCAAAGGCTCATGCAAACAGAACAGCCCAACACATTCTTACGCATTCAAACCACTCTGCAATGCCATTGCCCCCAGGAAGCACCATCTTGTACTTGCCATCTCTGTAAACAAAGTGTGCTGGGCTTGCTGGAGGCCCCAACAACAAAGGGTCCTGGGTCCTGTTTTGCACTTGCAAAGACCCATCATTCCTCAGCTCCACTCCTACACCTGAGCACCACAAACACTACTTACAAGGTAAGGGCACTGTAGGACATTGAAGAGGCTTCAAGCTGCAATGGCAATGGCAAGGCATGGACCATGAAAATACAAACAAACAGATAATAGACCTTGCCAAGCTGCAGCCTGACCCCTGTGAAATCCATAGATGCATGCGCGCTGGGTGCATCATTGTTCTTTTTCTTCCTCCAGCATGTGCAACCATCAATGAAGCTGATTGTTGGGCCCTTTGCACTTGAGGGGGTGCTGCAACACCTGCCATTAAACACAAAAGCACTCACAGCAGCATTGCATGGTCCTGAACAATTGGAGCCACCCCAATTGCTCTGCAACCTCATCCACATTGGAAAGGTCAGCCTGGGTTGAGAGCTGGCCACTACACAAAGGTCAGATCACTTCCCCATAGCACTGAGACATGTTGGCATCAGCAAATGGTTCACCAACTGCCAGCAAGCTAAGTACAGCCAAGGAGCATTGACCCTGGAGAACCTGGAATCTGCTGAAGCAGTCTGCTTCTGGTCAGTGGCTGCCAATAGGCTTCTCTTCCTGGGCCACCATCATTTGACATGTTGAACCAAAGAGTTACTAAGCCACTAAGCTACTTCATGATTGGTACCAAGTGTTTTGCCACAACACATTGCATTGTGACACACAGTGTTCATTGTGACACAGTGTTTGCCACAACCCCTGCACTCCAGCTGCTCTCTCACAACCACTGGCCCTGCCAAGTTTCAGCTGGCCTCTATTGGACACCATGAGATCCCTCACATGTGTGAGTGGGGACAGGCCAGAAAGGATGTATGCCAGCTGCTCCAGGGTGTAGTCATCCACAGCTGCCAAGGTCCCTGCCAGCCAACAAGTATTGATGTGGCTAGTGAACCTTTGAGGAAAGACCAGTTCACAAGTTAAAAAGAAACACACCTTACACCTTTGAAAAAACTGTTCACCCCAGCTGCCACCCCACCACCACCAGGCCCAGTAGCCTGGATCCAGCTTGTCCTTGGAGATGAAGCAAATCTGCCTGATCCTCTCCCTCCTGACACAGGTAACCACAGGTAATGATGCTTTTGGTTTGGCAACAATGGCAATGGCACACATGAGGCACATTTCATAAGTTGTTGACAAGGGATGGCATTCTAGCACACATGATTTGCTGACAAATGATGGTCTCTTTCTGACCCTTGCCTGGGGATGGTATTCTTCCTCAGGCTGTGGGAAGTCATTGGCTTTTCTGGCCTCTTCCCCTCCCATCTTGTCCAGTCAGGGCCCAAGGTTGTCCAGTACCTTAATTTGTTGAGCAATGAAACACCACACTCAAGCCACTCTATGATATGGAAAGGTGTGATTGACTTTAAGTAAGCAGTGCAAAGTGAACCACCACTCATTCTCTCTTTGCTCAAGCCTGAGGCCTAGATCTCAAAGCCTTGTGCCACCAACATGACTGCTCACTGGTACTAACCCTGCCCAAACACGATTTGATCTGCTTCTCATCAGTGTTTTGAAAGTCAGAGGTGGAACTGCTTGAGGAGCTGGCTGAACCTCCAGGCAAACACAAAACACACACAACAATGCTCTGTTCCACCATGTCACAACTTGAAAAGCACAATGCAACCCAAAGAGTTTACTGTCTACTGATCATGACATGTGCCTTTCTTTTTCTTCTTCTTTTTATCTTTTTTTTCTTCTTGGACTTCTTCTTTGCTTTCTTACCCTTTTTCTTCTGCTTCCTTACAATGACACTTACAAGCTGCAAAAGAAATACACACTTCACCCTGAAGACCCTGAACAGTTACACATCACTACACACATGAGTCCCAGCTGCCAAAGATGTTACCCACCACCCCAACACACCACCATAGTCTGAGAGCATAAAAACATGCCACCAGACTGCATACAGTATATATTCAATGCCCAGCTTCTTAGAAGAGGTCGAGCTATTATCCTCCTCCTCATCCTCTTCATCCTCCTCCTCATCATCTGTGGGTGCTGCTGTGCCTCATTGGCAACAAACAAACAAACAGTTCCACACTCCCTGTCACCAAACAAACAAAGACATTCATTCTAGTTCTTGAGCACCTTACCTTTCACTACCACCCCAGTCACACTTGGGACCTGACTTGATTGGGCGCCTGAAGAAAATTGTGGCACATGTTGCCTCCAAGCCATTGCAGGATAAGTGGGCTGCCCTGACTGCCTCAGCAGAAGTGCTGGGGTGCCATCACCCCCATTTATATTAATATATCATATCATATATCATCCACACATAGCCACACATATTACTACTCTGAACCACTGCACCAAACCAAGATGCCCTGCCATCATGTTCCAGCCAGGCATGCCCATCATTGGCTGCATGGCCAACCCATAATTTGGGTCAAAGGGTGGAACCCTTCTCTTCTTCCTACTGGGCATTTTGCCAGTGGCTCTGATGTCCAAAAAGCTGCAATGTGAGCACTGCTGAGCAACCCACAAGACACCACAAGACACCACAAGACACTGGCCACCCCAGGGTCTAAGGAAACCTCAGTGACAAACACCTCAGACATTCTTAGATTTTCTTAGGCCTCCCAATGCCCCAAAGAATACATCAAATGAACAGCACTATAAAGAGGTTCTAAGAGATGTGGGGCCATCATCCAACCCTCACCTCTAGCCCTGAACAAAGAAGGACAAGTTCGCTCAAAACAATCAGGGCTCTCGGACTTGGGACCGAGCACACCACAGGCCGTCCACCACGCTCCAAAGGCCAATGCAGAGCAGCTTCCAAAGAGCCACAGGAACAAGAGCCACCACCGCATGGCTAGGAGTCGTCGTGGGCCGTCACAAGCATGTCCGCTGCTGGACGGCTTGGGTGTGAGAGGCTTGATAGATAGATAGATAGATAGATAGGATTAGATAGGATTAGGTAGGATTAGATAGGATTAGATAGGATTAGATAGGATTAGATAGGATTAGATAGGATTAGATAGGATTAGATAGGATAAGATAGGATAAGATAGGATAAGACAGGATAAGATAGGATAAGATAGGATAAGATAAAATAGGATAGGATAAGATAAGATAAGATTAGATAAGATTAGATAAGATTAGATAGATAGATAGAATGCATCTGCAGCATGCCAGCATGCAAAACAAGGAGACGTGCCTCTTTTTTCTGCACACTGCTACCCCACTTGTTCAGCACTAGTTCGACAGCAAAGGATCTATGTATAGTCTCCAAGACTGCCGTCTTTCACAGACTTTGTGTTCTCGGACTTTGCTCTGACAATGCTGTGGGTTGTCTTTTGTACTCGTTCAAAGAACTGACTGTGAGGAAGGGGCAGGTGCTAGGTCAGGCAAAGAGACTGACTGAGACTGACCTTTCGAGAAATTATAAATATAGTATCCAAAAGCCTGGGTTGCGTGGGGGCAAGTCAATCATCCTGATTCCCCGCTTACGAGAAGGCCAGCCTGCTGGTGCTATAATGGCGCTGCATTTTTACAACGGGGTGGCAAACCACGCAACCCAGTCTTCTAAACTTGGAACGGCTGCCCGCTGTCCCACATTAGATTCATTAAATCGGTATCCTTCTTGCGGCCCTTCGACGACAAGGGTGGCTTGCAAGACCTAGGTATCAATGACAGCTCTGCAAAAGCATTTTGTTGCAGGTCCACCAACAGAAAACGCTGTTGTGACACCATTTGCGGGCCTCCTGCTGGGTGGCTGACAGTAGCATCTCCAGCATCACAACCATCACAACTTCAATAATCTGCTTCCACGGCGGAGAAACCTCAAAGAACTCGACGCTGAAAGCCACTAAGTCAGGCTGACCATTTTATACAAAAAGGCCGCAAGAAGCAAGTGAGGAAGACGGGGACTCATTCCTGTGCGGATGAATCTCTGCCGAGAAGCAGGGACAACAGAGCTATGAGGAGCAAAGCTGTGATTCTCCCTCGCAGACTTGAAGCTAGCCTGACCAGAACTAAAGTGACCTAAGAAGTTCATCCTCTCAACCACACCGAAACACCTCATCTTGATTGGGTGTACCTGGCATGTGGGTCATGTAGTAAGCTTCGTGCTTATCTATGGCTCTCGGTGGCGAAATCTGAACAAAAACGGGCAGTCTGCAGTGTGCAAACATACCGCGACATGCCCTTTACCCAAGCACCTATATAAGGAGGGCAGCGCAGCTCGCCTGCGGATCATCCTCCATACAGCTCCATCTTGGCCCTGCCGATGACCTGAGCAGGCCATCATAATTGTATGTATATACAGTATGGAATATATATCACATGGCAGCAAATTCCAGAACTAATTCCTACTCGATGACAACAAAAACCGAACAAGCCAGGGCTCAGCCTGAAAGTGGTGATTTTGAGAGCCCGACCTTTGTCGGCCACGGATCCCAAGGTTTTGGCGCGCCCATCGCTTGGCCGCCAGCTTTCTGCCACTATCCCAACTGGGGTTGACTGATCACCACAACGGCGGCATTTCATGGCCTGTCAACTTCACACGGGCAACTCTGCTTGCAAATGCCTGCAAATCGGAGCATGAAATCGAAACAAGAACGTCTTCAGTACCTCTCCCTCCTTAGGAACCCGATCTTCCAAGTCCTCGAGCTGATCTCGCGAAGCCCGATCTCGCTCTACACCGGAGACGTTGGGTTTCACGTGTTTCGGTTCGCTTGGCCTTGGAGACGTTGTGAGCCAAACCTTAGCAGCGAATGCACAGTTCAGGTGTCGTGTCGGCGACTGATGCTGAGGCATCTTGATCAACAAAAGACCGAAATAAGGAAGTCGTCAATACCACATGAGGTCAAATGGTTTCGGGTTTTCCACACATGATTGGTGTGGTCAATCAAGCTCTTCCAGTCGCACACAAACCTGGCTCGGTCTTCAGAAACTAGCAGTTACGCCGAATCGAATCAATCTCAAGCGAGACGCACCCGCTGCAAAACCAATCATGCGCACGCGGTGGGAATCGGCAGAGTCGGCACAGCTGCTGTGGTGAGATGCGACCTGGTCATAACTTGAGCGACATCATGCTGATTTGACGTGGGCCTTTCGCAAGGGATCACTATTCCGAATCACTCAAGGCAGCCAAAGCTGTGGCTTTACTTCACCATCTTGGATCTGTGGGTGCACTGATTGGAGACCCAGAGAGTCTGCCTTCTGATTGGCCAAGTTGAAGAAAAAGAAATCTTTGCGTTGACTGTTGACTGGGAATGACAATATTACATCTATAACCCAATCTAAGCTTCTAACCTCTCACCCTCACTCTCACTCTCACTCTCACTCCCTCTCTCTCTCTCTCTCTGTCTCTCTCTCTCCGTCTTTCTCTCCCTCTGTCTCTCTACCTATCTGTCTTTCTTTCGTGGCCAACAGGTCTCCTGTCTTTTTTGGGGGGACAGCGATTGAATCTTTGGGTATGGCAGCTCTCGACTTCAAGGTAAATCGAGTCATTGCTCCAGACTTCCTCGCGTGTGCATATTGTAATGGATCAACTGTAAGGCACCTACCAACAGTGCCGAGGTGCATGTGGCAAGCTTCCCACTGTAACCCCACGACCCTAAAACCAGGTTCTCCTGGCACGGGCAAGCCCATTAGATCAAAGATTGAATCGAACCACTGTCCATGGTTGGGCGAAAAGAACCCGAAGATCTGGTCTGGTCTATTTTTAGGAATTAGCAACTCAATCCATGCCCAGCTTTGCAACATGTTGCACCAGCAGTCCTCGGGGTCATGTAGATTCCAGGCGACATCACTATCAGGCGGGACAACCTCTTGCGACATTTTTTCACTCTCAGTTTACAGCTTGTGTTGTCGGGTCCAGCCTTGTGAGCCTGGTCAATAGAGCGACCTGTCAAAAAATTCAGGCACTTTCAGCGTTTAACAACACACTCAGTGTCTATCCGGCTACCCGATCCTTCTTTAGCCAGCCGCTGCTCTCTTGCAATCGCCCTGGCAGAGGCTCAGGACATAATTCAGGACCACAAAACCCACCAGAGGTAACGGAAGCTACGATATGCCCAGTGCACAGTTGTACCGGTCTGTATGCCAAAGGCTATGGGTCTGTATGCCAAAGGCTATGTCATCCAACCGAAAGGCCTGCGAGGACCCTGACGAGCAACGGCCACTGACTGGCCACTGCACAAATAAAAGATTGCAAACGTCAGGTGGCATGCCATGACAAGAGGGTGACGGAAATGTGAGGATGCAACACGCGATGAGGTGAGACCTGGTATAATAATTCATTTTACCAGCTGACAATGCGAGATGAAGTTGCGCGGGATTTGTGATGTGGAGTGATGCGACGCCGAGATCAAAAATTAAGCCAAAATTAAGATGAGGCACCACTCAAGGCAAAATGAACCCACTAACAGTTCACGTGCAAACCACAAACGAAACACCTCGGGTCATGACCTGCGGCTGCAAAGGGTCAAACAATCACTTTGTCACGCGGCCATTTACACGGCTACCAAAATCCAGCGGGTTGGTAAAAAGAACTACCCCCTGCAATATGCATGCGCCAAAGCGAAGGCCTGAAAGCTCTACTCTTCACATCCCAGCCAAAACAAACACACACAAGCACACAAGCAAACACACAGGTGTGCAACCCATTGGACCCCAGCTCCTCACCAGCAAAGGCCAAAGAATTCCAACTCGCTCAAGAAGTCGTGCGATACGACCTGCCAAACTACGTTTGAGGAAGAAAACCCCGTAGCCTTTGGCACAAGAACCTGCCACGCAAAGACTTGAAAAACCCAAAAGTGCATCAATACCCCCATTACCGCCAAACTACCTATGCATATGCAAATGTCTGCTGTGTGTGTGTGCATTCATGCGTGTATGTAGGTATGTATGTATGTATGCATGTACGTACGTACATACTTTTGTATGTAATGTACGTAGGTGATATGGACGTAGGTGCGTATGCACGTATGCACGTGTGTATGTATGTGTGAAGTTGGACGAATGCTTTCGCGGGGTACCAGTTCAACTGGTGGCACGCGCTCTTCACGAGATGGCGAGCGCTTGCCTTTTCCTTTGCCTTTCGATTGATCTCGGCCGGAATGTCGGCCAGTACCTTTACGTCCGGCTTCAGGCGACAAAGATGCGCGAACAACATCAATGAAGCGACGTCCGGATTCTGCATGCGCCGCATCTGGCGGCGAATCACTCTGGCGCGAAAGACTCACACTGCGTCTGGACCGTAATACCGGTCGTGCAGTGGAGGGCTGGCTCGGTGATCGAGGCCTGGACTTTGCTGCTGGTGCCTGAGAAGGCGCCACTGGAGTCTCGGAAGCAGCTGCGGGAATCTTGCGGCCCATGATGATCACAGAGACTAAATATGCTCAAGCTTGTCTTCGTCCGTAGTAGTGCGCTTGAACCAGAAAATGCAGTCGCACACACAAATTTTCTTGAGGCAAAAATTCACAAGAAAAATGTCATGAAGCATACATCAGTGAATATACACAGTCTGATATGTCTTCAGCAAAGAATGTGATAACAAACTGTGGATCCGGCAGGTTATTAATGACCCACTCGGTTATAAAGGCCTTGTGTTTCACAAGTGTACGGAAAGGTGGGTGTACATCAACCTGTCGGAGTGTTCCTGTCTCTATGCTTCTTACACGTTCATCCGGTTTAGCGGTGTGTTTTGTTAAGGATCAGCGAGACAGAATTCGCTTGCGACATGACTTAAGTCATCGATGTTGCCAGTGTTGCTCTCGTGTCTGAGCATCTGTATGAGGTGGTGTGTTTCCTTTAGCTCCGGGAGATGTGTGGTTTGAGCAGTGGTGACCAGGTTATTCGCGTCTGTTCTCAGGTGGATAGGAAGAATCTGGCCACTGACATCAGCCCACAGAGCACGAAGGAAAAGACATGTGCCAAAACACCTCATCAGTGCTTGTAGTTCAGCAACAGTGGTAGACTGAGTAGTAGTAGTGATCTTATGACTCTCGTAGTCTATAATAGATCCACGTGTAGCTGAGCTATCTTTCTTCTCGGAATATCGAGAGTTATATGGCTGCCTTTCTTCAGCTAGATAGATTACGTGTGCACGTTGGCTGGACTTGTCACTGTTGTTTCGGTATGATGCATCAGGAAAGCCAAGGATGCGTTGATTGCCCTTGAGAGGCCAGAATCGAGCATCCACATATTGGCTCTTCATTGTACGAACAACCTTGTTGATCCCACGCACGTCACCAATGGTCGGACTCGAAGCGGCGGATGCACATCTAGAGAGCTTGTAACAAGTGAACCTGCGTTCGACTCTGCAACCAATTGAGCTGGCCTAAAACAGAGCGATATGCTGTATGCATTTGAGGATTGCAAGCAACGTTGTCCTTTAGATGTTTATCAAACTTGATTTCCTCTACAGCATCTACAGCAAGCTTTTGGTCACAAGAGATGTATGGTCCTTGCTTATCATGAGTCTTCCACTTGATACGTTGACCAACAAACATGATGTCATTCTTGTCTTCCGAGCCTACGTTAAAGTCCTTACGAATGCTGGCAAGCACTTTGTCTGCAAAGACCTTGTCTCCGGCCATGAACAAGTCATCGACATGAAGACAAATGAAACCATGTGGTTTCCGGCCTTGTGCATTATTCTGTGCTACAGGATCCAGCAACATGTCGATTGCATCTTGGACAGGATCATTGGACGTAGACGTCTTCCGGAATGACTTTGACAACGGAACGACATCTTATCGCCGTACAAAATGTAGGTACATCGATCAGCTCGAGTTGGCACAAGTCCATAGCTAAGAAGTGCTTTATCGACAACCTGCCACCATCTGCGTGGTGCATCGTTCAGACCGTATGCGGACTTCTTCATCTTCGCTCCTATGTGTGGTGGATATCCGCATTCGGACGGGATCTGACAAAATGATGTCTCTAGTTTCATCATATGCTTCACCTTGCAGGAAGGCGGTCTTCAGGTCCATATGATATAGATCCCATTGACAGTTAGCTGCAAACTGTGTTGCACATCGAAAACCTGAACGACTGGCTGCAGGACTGTCGGTTTGTTGGGTGTCCTTCTGTCTGTCTTGGAAACCCTTTAGCACCCAACGTGCCTTACACTTGAGGAAGTTACCAACCTTATCCTTCTTGATGGTAAGGACCCAGCGACCAGCAACATAATTCCTGATCTTTAGCTTACGCATGTCAACAAGCTCGAAAACGCCATTGTCAAACCAGGATTTGCATTCGGCTTGTTTGGCTTCCAGGAATTGTTTGGCAAACTGTCGTTTTTCTTGCTGGGTTGCTTCCTTACGTTTCTTGCCGACAAGATAGGAAAATTTGTCTTCCTGTGATTGATACAAGGTCAGGAAGGCCTTGTCTTCCTCCGTAATACCGGAGTAGACTTTTCTGATGTCGGCATAGTTCTTACGAAGTAGCTGACGCTTCTTCTGTGCCATGTACGAAGACGGCGTTACAAAGTCAGCATAAGACGGAACTGTCTTGAGATCTACAGGTGAACCATCAATGTACCGGGGTACTGTGAACGAACCAGTATTGCTACAGAGCTTCTGTTCGGCTGACAGCCAGCTCCAGCTGTTTTCGTCCACGTACAGGTCATTATAGTCAATGGTTTCATCTGAGTCAACGTCATCTTCTTCTTCTTCCTCTTCTTCAACGTCAACTGCTACGTCGTCCGGAATATCGGAGTCGACGATTACAGCTTCCGGAGATTCAGGTGACACTGGCTGTCCATCATCATCGTCTGCGATCGGCAAATTAGGTCCGGATGGCTGAGCATCTGGATCACCGCCGTCCTCATCTTCCGGAAATTCGGGTATATCATCTATGTCATCTTCCGGTTTGCGTTTCTTTGCTGGTGTTCGGACGACCGGCGGCGAAAAGACGAGTCGATCATCACTCCCCAGATGGTTGCTCGGTGGAACCGAAGGAGGTGAAGGCGAGGCAGGCATCTGTACAGGGCTGGGAGGACGAGCTTTCGTTGAAGGGCGGTCAGACACAGGAGAAGGAGCAGGTCGCTTCTCACCAGAAATCATCTGTTCATCTGGAATAGGCGGTGGAACGACAAGAGTAGGAACTACAGGAGTGTCTGGCTGTACAGGAGTCAATGGCAAAAAGGAAGTAGGAATAGGTGGAACTGTGGCTGCAGGAGTAGAAGGTGGAAACTGTGATGGCGGTTGTGGTCCTGAAGGTGGTGTTTCCGGAAGTTCTCCAGGCATTTGTGTGTCAGGTTGTGACGGTGGTGAGTGGCCTGGAAACGGTGGAAACGGATTGTCTGGCGGTGGTTGTCCTGGAGAAGGTGTGAATGGTGGATCTGGACTGTCTCCAGGTGTAAAGAAATCACCTGGTGTGAATGGATCACCAGGGATGTCGCCAGGCATGTCAGGACCAGTGGGTGTCATGTACTCATCAGGATCCAAACCAGGAGGTGGTGCAGGTGGCGCACCAACAGTGTCAGGTGTAACAGGTGTGTGAACATGTTTGGACGGAACGCGACCATCAGAGTTCCAGAAAAAGACACAGCTCCAATTGGACTCCACTAACTTCGACAAGTCGTCAAAAGGACGTATTTGAATGTACAACTTAGTTGCATCCTTCTTACGCCATAAAAACAGTACACCTGCGGTGTGACGGTACCTGACCTTCAGTGCGTCAAAAGTACCGCGCAAAATTGTGGCGTGCTCAAATGCCATAATAGGTGCAAAAATCTGGCGCATATGTGAAACATCATGTGCGATATGCAATGACTCAGACCAAGGATTATACTCATGTCCCTTAGGGAGTGAGTTGGCACTGTTCATAAGGCGTCGAACATAAAAATCCTTCACAGTTACACTGTCAGATTCACTGAAGTGAACATATTCTCGATCCGTATTTTCTGTCAGGAAGAGCTGGAGTGATTCGAGACCCGGAATATCGAGTTCTCCAAGCAGATCTACAACTACAGTAGTCTGTGCGTGAAACAATCCATGATGGCTTCCCAGCGGCAGAAGACAGCGAATAAGCTTGGAACAGAAACGATAAGGATATACCTGAGCTAACTTAGTTCGGCTTCCAAAGCCAGGTGCTGAACCTTCCAATGGTTGATGTTGGTGTTGTTCACCCCCGAGCTTATTACTACATCTCTTGAACACAGGCGCTAAAACTCCTTCATCAAAATTGTGTAAAGGAGAAGTTGGTTTGTTGTAGTAATAGCCGTTAGGGTCTTTCATTCCAAATGAACACATGTCAAGGGTGCCATAGGTAACACCACGTTGTGACAAAAGACGATGGAAACATCTGGTGTACCAAAGAGCTGATGAGGCTGGATTCTCAATGATGAAATGGCCTCCGTGTTCAATCTGAAAAATGGCAACACGACAACAAAACTCCAACATTGGAAGAAACTTCTGTCTGCGCTGATCTCGTGCGCCGCGATCATGGATATTGGTCATCTGACTCCAAGGAGCACAGTGCGGCGCCATAAAGATGACTTTAGGCTTCTGTTTCTCGATGATGTCCATCGTCCTCTTACGACCGTCACTGGTCAAGATGTCAAATCCTGTTCTAAGGTCAATAGGTTGTCCAACACGCAGACCATTCATGGCAGCAACTTGACTTAACCGTGCTGAACCTGCGAACAGTTCTAAGAAATCAATCTTGCCAGTCATGACAGGTTGCCATGCATAAGAGGAATATGTGAAGCCTTCCACACCGATCT